AGACAGCTAACCGTGGAAAACAGCTGATGGACGTCTGTCGCCTGCTTCATGAAAACAGCGTCAGTCACATGTCAAATGTTAAAACATAGAAACAGGGGTTTTCACTGAGTTTTATAGTATTTCGAGCTCGCTGCAAATCATCGCTTGAGAATCAGGTTGTGGGTTTTTTCTGTGTACTAAGACTCCTGATTATTCTGATGTTACAAAAAACATCAAATACGGTAGTCATTGTTCAATTATGAAAGTGGAACAATTAGCAAAATGACAAGACAAATATCACGACATGATGAATGATTTTGGAAAGCATTCTATACAATTTAAGATTTGTGTTAGAAGACCGATACGGCCAGAAGAACTCCTCCGTGAAATGAGAAGGAGAAAGAGATCAATAAACCATACAAGCAAAGATATTAGAGCATTTGCGGTAGAACTCGTGCCAAACCATAGTGCAAAAGTAAAATATGCCTACACATGGGGAAGACTGAGAAAATGTGCATGAACAACGTTCTCGAGTACGCTAGATTTTTCTTCCCGCAGTTGTGGCGGTTCCGTATCAAAGAAAATAATCTGAAAGGTAAACAGAACTTTGCAGCAAATATTGCAAAAGATTAGAGTACGTTCAAACTAGTTTTGACATCTATTATATAAATGCACAAAGCGAATTGTTGAAGAAAAAAACTCACAAGGTGGTCATCTTTGGTCATTGCGCTCTGCGCTGTCAACATAGTCTCATGCAGAAAAATTTTACGAATGTGATGTCCGTCATTACGGCTCTGAATACATTAGTTCATTACAGTAAATCTTTTATGGTTTGAAACTTACAAAAACATAGAAATGTTGAGGTCGAGGAACAGTGGGAACTGGATCTGCATCAAAATCGGTCTGATTTGACTGGACCTCTTCCATCACTCTTACATGAATAAACTCGGCCAAATGCTCCACTGAAATTATCTATATTAGTTAATATAATATTTGAGTTAACGGTAAGATGGTAAATTGATAGGTAATCCTGTTCGAAATGATTTTGAGACTAGATTTGACCCTCACCGTGATGCTGAACAACATTTTCTTATTGTTAGAAGAAAAGGAAATATGGCCATGCGCACTCTCACGGTTTTACGCACAAGTGGGACACGCAAGTGCATTTTGATAACCCGTTTTGATAACCCAACAAGGATTGTAGCGCTCCATACTGAAATTGCGCAGTATGACTCCAGAATTCAGAATACCCTAAAATCTTACAGATAAGTCCGCTTTTTTGTCA